GATACTTAGTGAGAGCCGTCGAGTCTCTGCCGAGATGCCAAAGGCGCCGCCGAAGCGATCCAAGACCGACCAGCTCAGGGGGGAGAAAGAACCGAGGCGAAGCACCATCTTCTTGCCGGCCGAGGGCATCTTCCGGACTGTGTCGCAGGCCGAGGCCGATGCCATGGCGGCGAAGTCGACAACGTCATCCGGCGTATCCTCTACCGAGGCGGCGCCTAGCCTGCCCATTACGCCGACCGACAACAACCCCATGTACCGCCGCACACCCTCCCTCGACCCGCCGGACTTTGCCGTTCTTAACAAACAGCGGACGTCTCTGCTCTCTCTCCTCGACGCACCGCACAGACAAGACCCCGTACAAGAGTTCAACATCCCCACCACCCCCGGCCCAGTAGCGCCCGGGGCACACCACCTCGACACAGAAGACGAAGCCGATGCGCGACCCACCACCAAGCCGCCCGGCGAAATCACCCTCCCTCCACGACAACCGGCCGCCTCCCTAACCGGGCCCCTTACCGAACCCCTGCCAACCCACCCCACGACCGCTACCGCATCCACCATCGACGCCCACACCCGCCCACACACAACAGCATCCCACTACCGCCCCTCCACATCCACAACCTCCACCGTAACAACCACCACCAAAGTCCCCCTCCGCGACGAACCCGACGAGGACAGCGGGCCGACGCTAGCCCAGCGCCTCATGAAGATGCAGCGCACGCCCTCGCGCCAGACGGGCGACAGCAACAGCAGCTACCGGGGAAGCGACGGCAGCAGCATCACCAACCCGGACGGGCCCAGCTTCGACACCAGCAACCCGGCCCTGACCCCGACCATGACGCGCGAGGAGGCCCTGGCGCAGATTAGAGAGCGGCGCGGCCGGGCGCGGAGCGTCGGGAGGGTGGGGAGCGCGGGGAGCGCGAGCGCGAGCGCTGCTGCGGCGGCGGGGGGTGGTGCGGGTGCGGGTGCGAATGCTGGTGCGAGTGGGAATGGGAGCAGGGCGGGCTCGAGCCAGAGTGGTGGCGGTGCTGGGGAGGTGAGGAGGAAGGTGTCGGGGACGAGCGCGACGGGCGAGGTCAGGAGGAAGGTCTCGGGCGGTGGGCCCGGGGCCGCCGAGGTCAGGCGGAAGGCCAGCGGGGACCTTGCTGCGACGGCGAGGAGGGCGGCGGGCGATGAGAGGGGTCGCGAGAGGGATGTCAGGCGCGAGGTTAGCGCACCTAGTGCTGGTGCGGCTGGGACTGGGAGGGCGTCGGCGGCTGGGGTGAGGCGGGTGCGCTCGTGAGTGGTTTGTGGTGTGTTGAGTCGTTTGGGTCGGGGGCTTGGATGCCGCGCGGGGTTGGGTGGGACTGTTGCGTTGGTTTGTGGCGCGGGAGCAGTAATTATATCCCTGTGGGAGGAAGCCTCGGCTGGATATTGCAGTCTTTTTTTTTTGTTTGTTTGTTGTCCCGCTTGGAGTCTGCAGGGCTCACTCGCTTTCTTTTGTCGGGCGGTTTGGACTGGCTGGCGTCACGCTCTCTGGGCAAGGAATCACTTGTTGGAGTTAGGCGGTCGGTCTGGCACGGCTGGGGTAGGTCCTTCTTTTCTTTTTTCTTTTTTGTTTCTGGGTTGGGTTACGACCGGCTTGCCTCTTGTGATATCACTCTGCATAGGACAGCGAGGGCGTCATCTTTCAATCGACTTTTGTGCACTTCATACGCGGTTTTTGGATGCAGCGTCATGTCTGCTGCTCTCGATATTAGGGAGACCCCAAACGCACTAACTGGCATAAAGACGCCTAACAGTCTGGTTTAACGTCTCCCTGCCCGTGGGCGATAGTCGGTGAGGCTTGAAAAGGGTGGTTTTGGTGGTTTCAAGCTTTTTGAGATCAAACACCTTTGCCGTAATTCAACCATCGCCGGCGACCCGGCTGGTGGAAGGTTTCCAATTTGTTACAAAGCTCGCCTGTACCATTGGTAGCAACGGGTTTTATATGCCGCTTTTCATGCCAACGTAGTATGTCACCAAGCAAGGGTTTCTACCCGATTGTCAATTAGGACACAACGTTTCTCACCCCTACCCTGCCCCATTTTCTCTGCCATGGATTTCACCTGGATATGAATATTTATCCTGTTGAATTCTCAATGCTAACTCTGTGGTTCTCAAAACAGAACGGACAATATGAAAAATGGCTAACTCGGTATACTTACAACAAATTACTCGCATCTACATAAAACACACAACACATCATTCATCATCAAGGCATCATTCATCAACCCCCACCCAGCACCCTCCCCCTCAAGCCCAAATACACCCCTCCGTCGCTCCTCCTCCTCTGCCTCCCCGTCAACCGTTCTTTCGCCCACCCCCAGACGCCTGTGATAAAAAAGACCCCGACCCAGACGCAGACCCAACCACCGAACTCTGCGCCGCCACCCCAACCTGGGCCCCAAGCGGGCCCTCTCCCAACAACAACCCCGCCACACCAGCACCAGCACCAACCCCCGCCATCGACATGGACATGGCCCTCGACGACCGCGTCTGCTGCCGCTGCGCCCGCCGCTGGCCCGTCGACTGCGCCTGCTGCTGCTGCTGCTGCGCCTTCTCCTCGGCCTTGGCCACGGCCACCTGGCCTGCCGTGAGCAGGTAGCCTTGCACGAGCGTCTCGAGGGCGTGCGTGCTCTGGTTGTAGAAGGCGGGCCAGATTACTACGGGGTCGTCGGCGAGGGGGTTGGTGCCGGGGGGGGTGGGGAGGTTGGACTTTTTGTTGTTGTTGTGGTTGTTGTTGTTGTTGTTGGTGGTGGTGCCACCGCCGTTGGCGTTGCGGGATTTGGCGTTGTTGGGTTGTTGGCCGGCGTCACGGTCGGAAGGGGGTGGGTTTGCTGGGTTGGGAGGGTAGAGGGGCCTGGCTTCGTCGGCGTCAAAGTCGACGTTGATTTTGCCGTCGAGCTTTTGGATGAACTTCCATTGCTCGCAGGCTTCGGCGCAGAAGTTTCGAAGCTTGGTCTCGAAGCCGGGTCTCGACTTTTCCGGGATCAGGTCGCGGACATAGTCCAAGACGTTGATCACCACGGTAGTGATACGGGAGGCAATAACAGCATTGGTCTCTTCGGGCATGGAATCGGCTAGCCGTACGATTACGGAACGCAAGTGAGCCTCGCTCTCCGCGTCGCTGTCGGTCAAATCATCCAAGAACTTGTTGAGACCGGTTCTGTCTTGCAACAGATAAGTCGGCTGGAAGATATGCTGCCGGATTTGGTGCACTAGCACGGCAAGAAAGGCGGCTATCCGCATTTGTTTTGCTGCGGGAGTGTCGGACAGGGGAATGGGGATATCCTTCCTAACAGCCGGGTGGTTTTTAATATTCTCCCAAAGGGCGGGGTTGGACCGGATCTGCGGCGGCATGTCTCCAAAGGAAGCTTCAGCCAACGACCTGGCCGAGGCAAAGATCTTGTTGAGCGCCGCGCTTCTGTTATATTACGTTAGTCTTCTCCAAGTAATCAGCAAGATTTAGCTCACATTTCCTTGTGACTCTTTGCCACAGGTAAGAGCTCGACTGAGAAACCTTTGAGCTTCTGGAGCGCTCTGCGTTCGATGTCGAGCCGCGTCTTGAACGTGGCCACTTCTTCTGCCAGAGCTGCCTCTTTGCTAGCCATCTCCTTGCGGCTTGCCCTCAGTTCCTCCTGGGCTTCACTGAGCTTGTGCGAGAGATCCTCGATTTCGTTCCGTTGCTTTTTTATTTCGGAATCCATAACGCCGAACCGTTTCTCCGCCCCATCCATCTTGTTCAGGAGATTTGAAATTCTCCTGTCCTGGCTCTCAATGTCCCCTTTGAGGGTCTGCTTCTCATTTTTGAGCAGGGTGTTCTCGTCAACGAGAGCCACGTAGTCGTCGATTTGAGCATCGAGCAATAGCTCCTTTGCTGCCTTGATGATGTGTGCCGCCTTGGCCGCGTCGCCATGGCCAGGGGATGGAGGTGTCATGGAACGAGGTGCATGGGTAGACATTCTGCGAGTGAGGCTAAGTACTGGACAAGTGGGCAGGTGTGGTCCTGGCGTATGCAAAGGGAGAAGAAAAGGGGAGAGGCTGGGAACTGTGTTCACTCTGCAGGATTGGCGCTTGGCCTTCCTTTTCACTCCTTCACTTCTCAATCCGTACCTACCCTCCATCATGCAAGGCCAGACGACTGCCACCGAGGCATCATGGATGGCCTCACCTTCCAACAATGGATCTGTGCCTCACTCGACTAACGCGGCCAACCGACGGCCCGTCACTTCGGCCACTCATGGACGGGTGTAGCCTGCAATAGGCCTCCATGCAGCGATTGACCGACAGGGCGATGCTATGATTGGAGTCGAGGCCGCGACTCATCGCAGAGGTGTGCGAGAGTGTGTGGCCACCCCCGCGGCAAGAGAAGTCACCGAAACCCATGTCGTGCCAGTAGCGTGTAGGAGGCGCCCTCCATGTTGGATGCAAGAGGCCTTTCAACCCAAAGTTTTGCTGCCAATCAAACGCCGCAACGTCTCTGGTTGGCAGCCCCTTCCGCGTTGCCGGGACAAACAAGGCTTACTTGTACGAGATGGACCACTGCAGCCTTCCGCCGGCAACTTTCAATTGCAAACGGATTTATCGTGACATATACAGAACGGGTTGAAAAAGGAATATTTAGATTGTGGAACGTAAGTTGTGATCGAAATGCGATATGACAACTCACCCGTTGAATTTCCTAGTGAGATGGTACACACTGCTCCTTTTGCTGCCGGTGGTTGGAAATTTGGAATATTTGTGACTTGCCGAGGTAGCGTTGGTTCTTGCTGGAGGAGAAAGCCGTACCATGGATGGTGTGCCTAGGAGGCGGGGTTGCACAGCCTGCATGATAGGTAGGTCGATGGAGAGCTCAGAGCTCTGGTTGATTTCTGAGCAGCGCCGCTGTATGCTGCCGGCCTCGCGCTTTCCTCTAATTACCTTACAGCCATGATGATAAATAAGTCTGGCTACCGGAGCACTCCACAACCACAAACCCAGCGCGATTAGTTCAGTGGTTAGAATTCTCGCTTCCCATCTTATCTTGGACTAGCGAGTGACCCGAGTTCGAATCTCGGATCGCGCAAGCACAATTTGTTTATTTTTGCACATTTTGCACATAAATCCAAACGGGAGAAGACCGAGGAAAGCATGCTTCAAGTAATATAGATCCATTGAAGGTTAAGGTACCTAAGTATAAACAGGGGCCCTTCTAGCTCAAGCAAATTATTGTATTACCCGGCCCGGCGCTATAAAATCTACTTGTAATTCTCTCATGCCATTCCAATGTCACGAGAGCTCCGTTTGCATCTAAATCTTCCTTATCTGCTCAAAAGGGTCCAGAACTGGTCGCCCTGAGGACAAGAAACCGCCCCCTTTGATCAACAACGAAGACAAGAAGATATCGCTATTGTGGGGAGGCCGAGAACGTGAATCCGGAACCAGTAATTCACTTTCATTTTGGGTCAAATTGCTGACTCAGCAAAGTCTGGGTCACGTAACGGAACGGTTTCAGATGATTGGAACGGTGGGGAACGCGTTCGTACTCAGTTTTCACAACTCCGGTTTTCAACGTCGTTTTCCCATCTATACTCTGGTGTGAACCTACCATCGCCTTTTGTGATAGAGTTCCACCAACGCGTCGTAGATCCTGTTTTTAGCCAACCAAACGCGTTTACGACCCTCCTACACATCTGGCTAACAGCCGCTTTCGTGTCGAAGGATGCCGACACCACAGCCACCGTCCTCGACCAGCCCCCGGCCTCATCGGCCCAAGGAGTGAGCCTTTCCATGGTATACCGAACGCCAACGGTGGGGCTACTGCACAAGGAGCAAGAACGTAGCGACGTAGGCTCAGTGACCTGGCGTGCTCGCACTGCGAGTACTAGCCCTAGCGCTCCTCAACCTCACCGAGCCGATCAACGTCGAATTGGACGCGCCCGTCGCCCGTACGGCCTGACCCAGCCTACCCTACTACTTATGGTAAAGGGAAAGCCTCGACCACACAACAGAGCCACGCGAGCCAGGAGCAGACCTGGCAACAAGTATACGCGCTACTTTCAAGGTTCATGATCACTTGCGGCGCCGATATTATCCGAAGGCGGATTGCGAATCCACGTTATATAATGAGCGTGGGAACCAACCTAAAACCAGTGCAATCCTGTATCAGCACGGCTATAGAGTAGTAGCAAGGTAGACCGTAGCTTGCTGGAATACCTGTTCCTAAGTCAAGCGGGTTAGTAGGGGGTCGAATCGCATCCAACTAATACACCACTCCAGAACACACCACTCACGGACTTCCCGGAATACCCACCCAAGGGGTTGTTTAGGCGGACTGGCGACTATTCTGTCTAACGATCGCCTTACCAACATATATCATACAGTTGGCGACGCATTTCCACCAATAATTAGTTAGGTTCGCCGTGAGGCTAACCAAGTTCCTCGACCTACAACCTACTAATCCTACGTATAGTTAGGGCTCCTGGGAAAGAGTGTGGGTGGACCTTGTATCGGTCTCGCCGAGGGAACCTATAACAAAAGCGTTGGGCTGAGAGCTAGTACGCCTCCAGGGCAGTGGCAGACAAAAAGGGCGACAAGGGGAGTGCCTACCACGACTTCAAGTGGACTCTCGGCCACCACTCGTCGTCACGACCAACCCGACCACCCTCATCGCGATAAGCCCATTTTCTCGGTTCCTAACCTGCACATGCATTCTTCACAGACGCCGACGCAGCCATCCACTCCCTCCGAGGGGCATGGACAGACCAGTAGCTTGAGAAGAAACACCTAGGGGCTTAGTGAAATGGAGGGTTAAGGCTCTTCAACTAGGCCTTTTAGCCTAAGATCTCATGTACTCTCACCTAGCCTGCAACTTCCCGAGTTACACTGCGACGCCGCTACGCACGAGGCATGGCCGAACGGGCCGCGCAACGATTCCGAGCAGCCCAGCGGCATTTTCATCTACATCCGCAGACGACGGAGGCCATGGCACGTCCACGTCCGGGTCCAGAGAACCGAGAATGTTGTACCAGGAGAACAGTTCTTACGGTAACTTTCGACCTCAGCCCCGGCGATCCTGTTCCCACCCATACGAAGGTGCGCATGTCCAAATGGGCCCATACACGACTGTATGCCCGAACTCCATAAGACGGCCTGTGAGGGCCTTTATAAGCTGATTCCATGACCCGGTAGAGAACCACTTGCATAGTCCAATTCATTTGCTCTTCTTCGCTGTGCTTAGGAATTTGATTTAGTTGCTGGACTCCCCGGGCACTGTCGGTCGTGCTCCGCAATTGTGATCTGATTCAGACACTGAGAAAAAGGCGCTCATGTGATGGTGGGGGACGCCGAACAGTCTGGACTGGGACGCTGCTGCGAGGGCTGGCGGGGTCTCATGCTGTACGCGCGGTAAACCAGCCATTTTGCTGCCGCTGGTCGCCGCGAGGCGGGGCGATGGCGCATCCGCCAACCTCCGTGCCGTCCAGCGATTGTGGCCCAAAGGTCGACCCCAACCCATTACCGCCGCTTCTACGACGCCACAATCAAGCCTATCCTTCCTCGACGCCACGATGCCTCGACGACTGCGCTCGTTCCGGACGGGTTTTCACCGACACGGCAATGTGAAGGCTCGAGAAGGCTCCGAGGAGCAAGGACAGGACGGCGTGCGACGTGCGGACCGTTGCTGTCGTGACGTCTCTGGCCCCGCCAGACCGCAAAGATACCACACAAGTCTCTGCTGACAACAGACACCTCTCAACCCGCAACCTCACTTGGGCCGATGTCTATACAGCAAATCCCCACTCCCACCTCTCGGTCCGACGCCTGGTTGCCAGCCGGCGACCGATTCCGCCTACGCGGATAGCACCTCCGCCAGCTTGCCCGTACGACTTTGGGCCCGTGCCTACGATGACCTTAAACGAGGAGACAGAATTGGCGGGCGCATACGAGATGATACTGTCCTGGCAGCTCCAAGATGGCCCCGGCCCAGCGGTGCCCGAGTCCCAGCCGAACACTATCGCCCAGGACAACTCGGACGTGAGGCGCCGCCAGATGACTCAGCTTATTCATGCCGGTCTAGGCCAAGACTGCGAGGGAGGCCAAGGTGAAAGAGGGCCTTGGCGTGGCCGTAGATGTTTGTCTTGCCTGTTAATCAGGGCACACAACATCGACATTTTATGCAACACGACGCGTGAGTTGCTCACCGAGCAGATATTTGAGTTGACACTCAAGGCGAAAGTCCCGTTTCCTGAAGTTTTTGGCGTTTCGCCAGATCAAGGGGCAGGTTGATCCTAGGATCATATATAAGAGCTAGATAGTCACTCGCTAGGAGGAAGAATAGCTTCAGAGCTGAGTCTGGAAGATTTCCCACACCTATCCAATCCAGAAAACAGGTGAAAGAGCATGTGTTAACATACTGTATCAGTAGCAGAATTGACGCGACCTGATCATCGCCTCGCCGAGACTAACTTCCCTGAGCTCCCAACAATAGTTATTCTGAGTTGCGCCTCTCCCTGTCTCCAAAACTTGCTGCCAACTGAGACATGCAGACAGCCACGGTCCTTCATTGGCTGTAAGGTCCATGGCTCTGGCAAGTGCAGTTATTTTAGGATCTACAGCCGCCACCCTTGCTTTTGTCCTTTTCAGGGCCTCTGTCCTATGTTTTGGTTATGTCTCTGGGAGTCCGGCGCCTCCACATATGCACATGCAGCTTTGGAAATCTCGTATGCAGGCGCAGGAACAGTGGATACAGATTCAACTAGCTGTGGGGAAAGGCGGGGATCGGATGCAGGAGATGTGTCAATAATGCTCGTGGTCGGCGACGACATCCCGGATGGAGACACCAGCCTTCTTGCTTGGGGCAAGCTGGCGTTGACTCGGTGTGTTGAGTCCAGCTCAGAACTAGGCAAGCCTCACAAAAGACCTAAGGCTGAGACCCAGACAAAACTGAGACAAAGAGCCAGCGACGCATGTACGCCTTACAAGCGCCAAGGTCGAGGCAATAGAAGCGGTAGCTCCGCGGAACGGATCATGACGGGAAAGATCCGAGCCACCGGACCATACGGCATGACAGACAGCATGTAGCCTAACAATTGAGACGGGATCTGCAGTGACCGTCTCAATAGCGGATTGGTAGACGAATAATCCTCGGCAATGATGTGCAGTCATGGCTACGCTGAAGCCAAGTCGGCTTGCGTGTTGACTGGGATAGGAGGCGATCAAGCCTTCCGCCCGGATCACCCTCGCCGGTCGCGATGCCGCAGCTCTGCTTCAGCCAATGGGTTCACCGGTTGATAGGTGATTCTCTCACATTGTTCTACGGTTAAGCGTAAGGTGAGATCCACGGTGACGCGGTATGACGTCCTTGAAATCCGTCTCCCCCCAGGACAGCTCCGATCATCTGCTGTGATTGACTTGGAAGTTGCTGATGTCCAGGATGACTCTGTTGGTCAGAAAAGGTGAGCTGGAGAAAGACAACAGCCTGTGTGAGCACCCAGGGAAAAGACTTCCCTCTTAGTAAAGCAGTTCGATCTCCCACCAGACGAGCACGCACGCCGAGACAATGAAGTACAACAACATCGGCTTGGGAGTCTCCATCCTTCTCGTATCTAGGACCGCCTCGACTTCAAGTCATGCGCTAGCGAGCAAAGCAGGGGAACATGTCAAAAGAGCCATCAAACAATGGTGTCTCTAGAGTCATGAATCGTCACGCTGATGCGGTCCAAGGCTGCAAACCATATGCAGGCTACTGAATACGAGGCGGCATTAGCCGTGAGTCCGGGGAGGCGGACCAAACTGCTTTTTTGGTCCGACGCTGCTAATATTAGCACAGAAAATGATTGCAATTAAGCTAGATGATGAATTTTGACGAGCAACTTGCAGCTGCAGTGTAGCAATAGCTAGTCGGGTGAAGTACTTTCAGTGTCTAATGGTATGCACATGAGTGAGGAACGATGGGCTATAGATCAAAGAGACTTCAACTACAAATAAAGGTCACCCTCTTGAAGTTCTGGTATGCTGCGCTTCTCCTTAAGCTTTCTCAAGCCTCCCTACCAGATCTGCGACGCAGCCCGCCCTCAGAACCAATTT